GTATCCATCTTTTTTATGTGTTCTATAATGTGGAAAATGTTTGCTTGTGTTTACAAGAATTAACTCCTTTAGTTGCAAACTACAGAGTATAAGCAGTGAAATTATAAGAATATATTAATACAGCTAACCTAGGAGTTAACCATCATTGTATTTACAACTGTGTTAAATATGTATAAACTTAAAAGGAAAAGTTAAAAGAGTTCTCAGTAAATGCATATGTGCAATATTTGCACAAAGTAGGTAGCGGCCCTTCCAAAGTCGGATTGCCATTATTTAAAACTTCATGGGCAGCTAGACTGTAACCAGCCTGACCTGATTGTAATAGCTTTCTGTGCTCATTGGGTTTCCCTCAAGCTCAGAACATTGTTTGCTTCTGTCTGTTGCTGGGAAAAGTGTCCTCCACTAGATAAAGCAAGTACAACCAGTATATATATTTCACCCTGGACAATCACTATGCAGTTTAGGTTAGTGATGTGAGCTGGGGAAGGAAATAAATATGTAGAGACCCTTTCTAATAGCGTCTTTGCCCCCAGGAGAGGAGGTCCACTGTGAGGAGCCCTTTTTGCCTCTCAGGCCTACTGACCTTATCTTCTAAATCCAGTCGCAGGGAATGGGAAATGGGCAAATGGGACTGGAATATAGGAAGGTGGCTAGAAAAGGGGAGCACCTTCAGAAAGCTTACTTAATCTCTTGTCTTTCTCCACTTAAAGGCATACATTGAAGAATTATTTGTCTCAGCTTAAATGCACACATTCTAGAAATGCTGGTCAATGGCAGAGAAATACGCATGTTGCACTCTATCAGTAGGACACGCCACTCAGAACTACATTTCTCTAGAGCTTATGTTTTATCCCCATACTCAGTGTGTGAGCAGTCTCTACAGTGATTTATAAAAACATTATTTTGCTGGGAGAGAAATGAATGTATGCATGTGAAAAGAAACAGAGACGGAATAAAATATATATGTCATTAATATATTGATATTTAACGCTTTTGTTTATGGTAATTGTGTGTTTACTGTTTAATATATTTGTAGAATATGATTTGCAAGCCTGACACAAAAACAGTACATCTCAGTGTAGAATTGCCATCATCCTCACTAGGTAAATTCCCATGATGAAATAAATACAGTAGAGTATTTTTATATAAAATATTTGTTTATAAACTGTAGCCCATTACACTGATTTCAGTGTAATCCCACAATCAATGGTAGTCAGTGTTGCTTTACACCCCAAGTTTCTATATGATTATATTATGTGCATCCATAGTATGCAAGTTATTTGAGGGTATGATAAAGGACCATATTTATGAATATGCTGATGGGCATGATATCATAGGTGAAAACCAACATGGCTTCAGGAAAGATTGTTTATGTCAAACCAACCTATTAGCGCTCTACGAAGAGGTGAGTGGCAACCTAGATGAAGGAAAGCCAGTGGACGTAGTGTACCTTGATTTTGCAAAACCATTTGATACAGTACCTAATAAACTTTTAATTTACAAGCTTTACTCTTTGGCCATTGATGAAATGGTGTGTACTTGGATAGAGAACTGGCTAGGAGAACGTGTCCAGAGAATATCAATAAATGGCTCATTTTCTAAATGGTCCTCAATTGGCAGTGGCGTGCCCCAAGGTTCTGTCTTGGGGCCATTGCTGTTCAACCTGTTTATCAATGATATTGGGACTGATTTTATTAGCAATATTTCAGTTTTTGCTTACGAGACCAAAATGTGTAGGGTAGTAAACGCTACAAAAGACATAGCAATATTACAGGAAGATCTGGATAAAATAGGGGGTGGCCATCTACACGGCAGATGAGTTTTAATATTGAGAAGTGTAAGATTATGCATTTTGGGGTTACAAATACACGGGCGAGCTACTCATTAATGTGCATCCCACTGAGGGAATCAGAGGTCGAAAAAGATTTGGGAGTCGCCTTAGTGACAGCTTGCAAAGCCAGGCAGCAGCAAATAAGATAAGCAGGATACTATCATGCATAAAAAAGGGAAAGTACTCTAAAGTCAAATCCATAATTCTGACCCTGTACAAAATACTGGTCCAGCCACATCTTGAGTATGCGGTTCAGTTTGGTCACCGATCCACAGAAAAGATGTCCTTGAGCTGGCGAGAGAAAGGGATCAAAGCCTTTACCAAAAATTTACGGACCTGTAAGCTTAACTTCAATAGTAGGGAAGATACTTGAAAGTTTGGTCAAGGATCACATGCACTTATTTTTGCTTGAAAATAATATTATAATTGATAGTCAGCACGGATTCACATAAGATAGAAGTTGTCAAACAAATCTACTTTCTTTTTATGAGGAAGTGAGTAATAAATTGGACAGAGGAATGGCTGTGGATATAGTATACTTGGACTTTGCAAAAGTGTTTGACACAGTTCCCCACAGGCGGCTAATGTATAAGTTAAGGTCAGTAGGTATAGAGAACTAAATCTGTAATTGGATAGAAAACTGGCTTAAAGACCGCATTCAAAGAGCGGTGATCTCTGAATGGTCTGAGGTTGTTAGTGGTGTTCCCCAAGGTTCAGTGTTGGGCCCCTTACTGTTTAACCTATTTATAAATGATAATAGAGATGGGGATTGAAAGTACTATTTCTGTGTTTGCAGATAACACCAAGTTATGTAATGGAATACAGTCCTTACAGGATGTCTCCAACCTACAAGCAGATCTGAATGCACGGTGTGATTGGGCATCTATTTGGCAAATGAGGTTTAATGTTGATAAATGTAAAGTTATGCACTTGGGGACTAAAAACATGCATGCTTCATACACTCTAGGGGGAGTATGTTTTGGGGAGTCAATAATGGGGAAAGATCTGGGTGTTCTGGTGGACCATAGACTCAATAATAGCATGCAATGTCAAGCTGTCGTTTCTAAAGCAAGCAAAATACTTTCTTGTATTTAAAGGGGTATAGACTCCAGAGATAGAGACATTATCCTGCCCCTGTACAAAGCATTAGTAAGACGTCATCTGAAATATGCAGTTCAGTTTTGGGTACCATTTCACAAAAAGGATGTTGTGGAACTGGAGAAAGTGCAGAGAAGGGCAACTAAACTCATGGGGGATGAAGCATTCTGACACAGCTTTGTGTCAGAATGAAAAAAAAAAGAAACAGCAGTGTTTCTCTCCTCGGCCAGCTTTGGCTTTCAGCGCGGCTCAGCCGAGCCGAGGCATATGCGTTCGGCTCGACTGACCTGCTCGGCCACGTTCGGGAGCTGTACGGGCTATTGTGAATAGCCCGTACAGCACCCCTTCGGTTCTACTGAACCTAAGGGGTCCTGGGGCCGAAGCTAGCCGAAGGATCGGCCGAAGCTATGGCTAGATCTTTCGGCAGCTTCGTGAATAGACCCCTATGTCTCCTACTCTTGCAGTGCATCTGTGTTGGTCCATCAGAGTGCTGTGTTTTTCTGTGAGCAGATTGCGTTGGATAAACTAGGCAGGTTTGTCCTATTCACTTTAAGTTGTCTGAACTGGAATGTGTTCTGGACAATATTTATCTGCCCCTCCATACTCCCAATATGTTTTCGTTGACTTTGCTACCAATCCAAATCTTGGTTGTGAGGGATTTTAATAATATCATATATCAAATACTTAGATAAATTCCAAATCCGTGCAACTCATACTTTGGCAGGGGGCAGGGAAGCAAGGTAGGATATAGGCTTACAGGATGTCTGGCGCCTGACCCACCTTACTGAAATGCAATTTGCATGTCACTCTAAAATCCATTATTTACTATCTTGAATAAACTTTATTTTGGGTATTTCTGAGGTTTTCTCCAATGTACATTCAGTCAGAGGAATCTCAGACCATTCTTTTTGGTAGTCATTATTGTCCCTGGCCAAGGAGGAAGGGGGATCAGAGACTGCCTGGTGCTTCAATCCCTTCTGGGTTTTTTTTCTATTCCAGTAACATGCCGCTATAGAATCAGAACCATTATCCTTTCTTTCCATAAACAGTTCTTCTGCTTTGCAGGGCATGGTTTGGGACACCCTGAAAGCATAATTGTGGGGTCTGTTTATTAAAGTAGAAGTATTGAGAGTAACATGTACTTTTCCCAATATTTTGATAAATACTTTACACTACAACTGTCACAGTTCTATATATCGAGAACTGAGTGATCAATATTGTCAGAATCCTTCCCGGCTGCAACGTAACTCTGAGCAGTAGCCCACTATATGCTGAGAGAACTAAAGCCAAAAAAAGGTTTGACCTTAGCTCTCTTTTAAAGAAGTCAGTTCCATAAGACTGTCACTAGAAAGTAGCAGTGGTATTAAACATCTAGCCATTTGGGATTGATCCACCTCAACTTCATTCAGAATACGCTCTCACTTGTTTCAGGCAACAAGCACTGCGCTTCACAAACTCAAAAAATATATTCCTAAATTGTGAGAAAAATGTTATTAATTGTGAAATTATTACAAAGTGATGAAACAATTTATGTGTTATCCACAACACCTGTGTTGCACAGTGCCTGTGCTAATAATACTTCAGAAAAAGACTCTTGGTCTAATGGTCTAGACCAGGGGCGCCCACTATTTTTCGTCTGGAGATCTACTTTTCAAATGACGAGCTCATTGAGATCTACCAACAAAAAAAACTAAGCCATAATAAACATTGAAAACAATTTGAATACCAAAAAACATATACTTGTGCTAGTGCATATCATAGAATATGTACATATAGAAAGTCCTTTATTAAATCTCACAAGTGATGTACAACTCCCACTTAATTTACATATCCATATGTGTAGTCCATTCTTTCTTAATGCAATAAAGTCCTTGAAATATGTGAAAATATATCTTCCAACTTTTATAATCCACACCTCCTCCGTGAATACATAAACAATTTGTGAATCAGTGCTCTCCACCGTGCTCAAAGATAAGATCTGGCCACACTCACCGACTCCTATTGCTCCCCATATTTCAGATGAACAAATGGTGCTTTGTTGATATTGTACAGGACGCCAGAAGATGGGTCCTGGGAGAAGTGTATATTTCCCTTTGTTCGGGTTGTGGTCCCTTTAAGGGACAGAAATGGGTTAACAGTTGCTGCAGGAAGTGTGTTCAAAAGGATAGGAAGCTAGAGACAGAGGGGGAGAGAGAAGCCCTGATTAATGTTTGCAGACAAGGCTGTGGAGCAGATGGAAGTACTGGTGCTTTGAAGCAGCTGAACTTTACTGGGAGCCTGTGGGCTGAGAGAGAGAAACTCTGAAGTTAAGAGTGTGATAACCTTGTGGACTGAAACCCTCCAAGCCGGTGAGGCTGTTATTCTTTCCTGTGCTGAAGGAAGCAAACGGTACAGTGTATTATTTCTATGCGGAAGGAAGCAATCTTTTAAGTTGTTTTGCTGTACTGAAGGAAATGACTGTTTATTGTTGCTGCTGTGGAAAATAAATGCAGTTTGTCTGAGAAAGCCTGTGTCCTGCGGTCCAGCTAATTCCCCAAACATCACAATATATATATAGAACCAAATCCTCTACTTCGTTTTTTGATCCGACAATAAATTGGGGTATATTCTTCTAAACTCTAGCTTATCTTTTCAAAACCGTCTAATACTATTCCTCCATCTTCCACCTTCTCTTGTACTCAGAGAGAGAAAAAATGCTTTCCATAGTGTAGTATGTCAGAATAAATTTATTGAAAATGATTAAAATACACTTACAATTAAAATAAGGCAATTGCACATAGATTATGTCCACTGGAGTTCTTGTCTCTATGATCGTAATGCTTGCATGGATCCGCCCACCAATAACCCTGTATATATTTTCTGAAAGTCACCACCCTGTAGAATAAAATGGTGGCTGTTGTAAATGTTTATATTAGACGATATTGGTGCAACTCTTTATCAAACCCAAGAAGGTAGTGAAAAATGCACTTAAGTTAAGTTTAGTGCCCCAAAACACAATAAAATAACCATTTGTTTGTAAAATATAAAAGATGAGGTTAAGACGAATAGATACCCAACATGCTCAGGTAAAAAATTGCATGCGTCCATGGAAACAGTGACAAAATTCAATACCCAAAAAGTCCACAGACGATGCAGTTTAGAGATACACATAAATATTGGCACTAGAATTATTGCTCTCACTCTCGCATGTGCATGTTTATGTGAATACACGTGCACTTGCAGGGGCGGGGACTTTAAGAAATGTTTTGGATTATTTTTACATTTATTTTATTTAATATTTTTGTAAACTTTTTTTTTTTACTTTACTTTACTTTAATTGCTATCACATAGGGGGCTTCAGGAGTCAAGCAATGACACCTCAGGGACCAGAAGTGATGTACTACTCCTCACTCCCATAGAGCAGGGAGGAGATCGGTGGCTGCAAGTACACCGCTCTCCTCCCCAGCTTCCCACCGGCACCCGACATGTCGGTTCTGGGCCTGCAGGAGGGGCAGCGGAGCCTGGCGAACACGGCGGGGGTGTCGGGCGGATGGAGCAGGCAATTTACCGGCCCGTAGAGGTGATCTGGCGGCAGCTAAAACCACCAGAATCGCTTCTATTGTATAGAAGAGAGTCGGTTTTACAATTGTAAGCAGAGTCCTGACGGGAGTCTGTTTAAACAGGCCTGCTGTCAGTGGACTTGAAGGGGTTAAACTAAGCTCCCTTTCACTACTCTGTAGCATGATTTGTGAACTATTGGGGAAACTTGACTGCATTGTAAATTTTATTTTAAAAGTGAACTAACCCTTTAAGAAAGTCTATGGCATCAGCCAAAAAGTTGAAATTCTTTTCTTTCCCAAGACAACTAAAAATTATATATACAGTGTATTGGGACACCCTTCCAAATGATTGGATTCAGGTGTTTAGTGAAATTTCCTTGCTACGAAATATTCCACACTCAACTGTTAGTGGTATTATATAACTGGAAGCACCTGGGAGCAATAGCAACTGAGCCACGACGTGGTAGGCCACGTAAAATGACAGAGCGGGGTCAGAGCATGCTGAAGCGCACAGTGCGCAGAAGTCGCCAACTGTCTGCAGCTACAGACCACCAAACTTTGTGTGGCCTTCAGATTGGCACAACAATAGTGCGTAGAGAGCTTCATGGAATGGGTTTCCATGGCCAAGCAGCTGCATTCAAGCCTTACATCACCAAGTGCAATGGCAAAGCGTTGGATGCAGTGGTGTAAAGCCCGATAGAACACCTTTGGGATGAATTAGAGCAGAGACTGAGAGCAGAGACTGAGAGCCAGGCCTTCTTGTCCAACATCAGTACCTGACCTCACAAATGCACTTCCAGAAGAATGGTCAAACATTCCCATAGACACACTCCTAAACCTTGTGGACAGCCTTCCCAGAAGAGTTGAAGCTGTTATAGCTGCAAAGGATGGGCCAACTCAATATTGAACCCTACGGACTGAGACTAGGATGCCATTAAAGTTCATGTGCGAGAAAAGGCAGGTCTTCCAATACTTTGGGCAATATAGAGTGTGTGTATATAACGGAAAATTTGTATACTTACCTATCGGTAATTTTCCTTTCCTGATGCCAGTACATGGCAGCATACAATGGGTATGGCTCCGCCCCCAGCCCAATCACAGGACCAGTTATACTATAAATTAAAGCCCGCCTCCCAAGGCCACCATTCTCGTAACAAGTAGGAGGCTAAGCAAGTGTTCAACCCGCCGCCATGATGGACGAAGCTTCCGAACATGAGGAGACCATTTTCTGCACCCCAACTCCAAGGCTATGTGGGAGGCTTCCCTTATAAGACTGCATTTAGCCACCTGAACAAAGGGAACTTCGCAACAGGAGAGGCTGAACCTGTGCGGCAGGCCAGAAGAAAAATATAGTTTCCTGTATTTTCATTGGCATAATGTCATGACATTGTTTGCTTTACATAATTATAGAAGATGAAATCCATGACATATGTATATTTTGGGCCATTGGCGGAAATAGAGTTTTACTGCAGAGGGAACTCTTAAGTGCTTTAAGCACTGTGGTAACACAAGAAATGTGCTGGGGTTTTGGCCTTAATTTATTCAATTAATTACATCTTGAGGGTTGCAAAGCTGATATACAATGTTTACATGTAAATAAGTTAACATTTTATAAGCAATATAAACACTTACTTTCCATTGATTCTGATTTCTTCTTGATTCTTCTGCAGTATATGATACAAAATTAAATATCTTTGTTCAGTGGAATTTTACATCTAGCACACACACATTACTATGGAACACTATTATTACCATCTGTTATACACACACAATGTCTCAGCACATTACAGCGTGTTCAGTGCATTACATATGCATTCCTATTTGTGGCACTTATCGCTGTATAATCAGTGTAAGCTTTTGTGCTGGTTGTAATCTTATTTTCTTATTGCCCAAATACAATTTATGTAGCATACAGAAGAAAAGCTATTTTAAAACACACAATTTTCTAAACATTCTGCATTATGTTTTGTTTCTAATGCATATTATTATGCAATGTGTGTTTTTTAAATGAAAACATTGGGCCTATCTAATAAAGTAGTACACTGCTTTTGAGTGTGCTGTACTCCACATCAATCATGCAAACTTGTATCTGTTTTTTTATTAGTTATTTTCATTCTTCTGCAAGATAATGTAAAAATAGTACACAAAAGATACAATGGGATGACGAATTTTGACCACCTGGAAAGGGATATGTATACACAACCTGGGCTCTAGCAACAGTCTACAACCTATTCCAAATTCACCCCCAAATCTTTTCTTGTTTCTCGTATACAAATGCAGCTAACATTTACTCTCAATTCTCATCACAGAGAAGTATACAGTAAATTCCTGAAATTCCATCTAGGTTTCTATTTTTTTCCTTTTGGTGTGAAAACAAGCATTTTCAAGGAAAGATAGCATGTTACATGGCTTAAAGAAATGTAAGTTACCCATTCATTAATGGCAAATCCACATTTTCCAGACTAGTTTTACTGGTACAGGCAGAGAACATCACATAATGTTTGACCATAGTTTTACTTTAAATATGAATACTGAATGCATTCAGATAAGCAACATGTAACAATAGATGATAAACTAGCAGAAAGGTGGTTTATGGCAGGATCCACAGTCTCTTATGTCTTGATGTGCGACAATTATAATGAATTATACATTATATTACAATTATATTTTAAAGATGAAAAAAAAATGCTTGCCTTCACAAATGAGCTAAATTTAGTTAATTTAGACAGTGTATCTAGTTTACTAAATCTCATAAACCTATTTTTACTGTGTTAGTTTCAAGGGTAGCCTTATAACTCAACTGTTATCAAACAACTATCAAAGGTTAGTGTTATCTCTTAAGCTGTACAGCTACTCTTAAAACCTGCAGTAAATATTAAATGCACCAGAAACTGTGCAATTTCTATGAGCGCCATATGTGTCCACTGTAGCATATCATCCTTAAAGGAGAACTATGGGGTCAGTGTTTTTCCCCATAGTTCTCCTTAGGGTAACAGGAGGACACAAACTAGCGTCCTCCCGTTACCCTAAGCTCAGTATAACGCGAGCTACAGCTCGCGGTATACTGAGACGCCGGAGCGGATCCCGGCGTAGATTACGGGATCCGCCCAGCTGCATTAGTGACAGCTGGCTTTGCCTATCTAGCGGCAGAGCCAGCTGTACCCGCCCCCTCCCCACTTAAAGGAGAACTATGGGGTCAGTGTTTTTCCCCATAGTTCTCCTTAGGGTAACAGGAGGACACAAACTAGCGTCCTCCCGTTACCCTAAGCTCAGTATAACGCGAGCTACAGCTCGCGGTATACTGAGACGCCGGAGCGGATCCCGGCGTAGATTACGGGATCCGCCCAGCTGCATGAGTGACAGCTGGCTTTGCCTATCTAGCGGCAGAGCCAGCTGTACCCGCCCCCTCCCCCGTCCGTTCCGCCAGTCAGCGCTGGCAGATCGGAGCGGGTAGAGGGGAATCCAGCCCCTCCCCCTGTCACGGCAGAGAGCCGTGACAGGAT